CTTTTTTAGAAAAAAATTAAAAATTAAAAATTATTTATATATATACCTATATCATCCTTAAAAAAATTAAAAGACAATAAAATTTTTTATAATAAAATAATTAATCAAAATAAATAAATAATAATAAAATTAAAATAAGATATTTATTTATCTTTTAAAAAAACAATTAATTTAAAATAAATTCAAAATAAAAAAATAACAGTTGCTTTACATCAAAGGAGTACGATGCAATTTATTATTAACAACGTAAACAAATTATACTTAATTGCACGTGACCCTATAAGCTTAATGACATTAGTCATTAAATATGTGCATTCTCCCTCCCCGTGAGGGTTTCGAACCCATCCATGTCAAAATGTTCAAAAATATATATATATATATATAAGGTTTTTAAAATTGGACCGGATCGGTCGGTTGAACCGATCGAACCGGTATTGATGATGAAAATGGTTCGATTTACATAAAAAAATCGTTTGAGGTTAAAATCGATCAAAACCGGTCAAAATCAGTAAAAATTGATAAAAACTGATAAAAACCGATGGAACCGAAAAAATCACCAGTTCAATTTCTCATGCAATCTTCTTTCAATTTTTTCCAATTTCACCCTTCCCATTCCTTTCCTATACCCATTTTAACCTTTAATTTTAATAAAATTACAAAATTATCAACACCAAATTAAAAAATCCATGCATGCAGCTTACTCCTCTCATCAAATCTTCCTTGTGGTTTGGATCGGCTGGTTTATCAGTTCAATTGGTTGAATTGATTAAACCAAAAACCAAACCTGAAAACGATTCAATGATCAGTCCGGTTTTAAAAACCTTGTATATATATATATACACTTTATCGTTTTAAGAATGCGAGAAATGTAAGCAGCTTCTTCTAAAATTACGGATGCTGAAAGGGCTTGTACATGGGACGTAAGGGTATTTGAAAATTGAAACGTACAAGGATCTATTCTCTTTATGCATTGTCTTTATTTTCCAATTGTATCGGTCTCTAAGGATTATCATTACATATATTACCTATACATTTTCCATATGTATGGATACTCATTAGCAACCATTTTCAGAAGGTGCTGAATTATCAGTGTTGGTTTCCACTTCCATTGCTACCACCTCTTCCTGCTTCTCATTCTCTGCCTTCTCAAGCTTCATTTTCTGCCACAATATTCAAAGACATTCAGTTCACTGCATGATAAAATTTAGTATTTCCTTAACATGAGATTCATCAAGTGTGTACTGCAACAATGACTTTCAGAAATACATTTTTTAACAGGTGAAGCAAATTTGTTTCAAGTAGCATTCCCAGATTCTAAATAATTTCTTTCAAGATGGAAGAACAGTAATCCATTCATTTCTCAGATTATGAAATCTTTAGAAGGGACTGACCTTAAATGGAGAGGGGCACCTACCTTGGTGGTTGTGGATGAGTTTTTTGTCATTCGTGCAAACATTTTTGAATAGAGTTTTGCATCTCTCTTGTTGCTCTCAGCTTGAAGTTGTTTCAATGTATTCTGAATTTGCTTCACCTCCCTGCCATTAAAGCCCCATGTTGGTGTATGATCCCTCAATATGTAAAAGCTACTAAAGATTTTGTGCTACACAAACTCTAGCCCTACCTATTTTGAGGATCAGCCTCAAGTGCTTTTTTGATGTCCAATTCTGCTAAAACTAAATCTGAAATTTCCATATAGGATTGTGCTCGTCTGTAAAGAGCTTTAACATTGTAGGACTCAATATCTAGCACCTGCACAAGGAGCCTTCGAATTATAAGATGCTAATTTTTCTCACTTCACCAGACAACCAGTGTTATATAATACAGTTAACAAGGATTATTAAAATTTTAACTACATAAGTATGCAGGATTTCCATACTGCCTATGTATTAAATATGTGCACACATAGTGGAAGAAGCATGGCTCCTTTGACATAAGTCATGAATGGGAGATATGGTAGTGGTGCAGAAGGAAAATGCCAGAATTCAAACAACAAAAATGGAGCAGTTGACCCATCAACCTATTTCCTCTCTACTTCTGAAGTCTGAACAAGTAGTGGGGGTAGGGAAGGAAGAGAGATACAGTTGAAATTATGACAATGCTTTTGTTCTTGATCAATAGCTAAGCATGCAATGATGAAGAATGAGTGCAACAGTAGTAGAGGAGCAGAGGAAACAATCCAAAATCCCATTTTGGACCTCAAATACATGTTTGTTATCATTGTAACAGGGGGACCGTCCACCCTTTTCATTCTAGAGATATTGGGTTTGTCTGTGGCTTTGCAATTTTGCAACTCACCTTGGAACATAACTTGATTGCTTCCTGAAAATCTTTTAATTTGATGCTACATGCTGCACCATTCAACCAGCAAGATACCCTTAATGCTTTTACCAGCTTTTCCTCAGTATCCCCAAAGGATGCATCTTCACTGACATAATCTGCAGCCTGGGTTTAGAGAATAAATAGCAGTCAGAATTTTTTGGAATTCATAATCATGTACTCTGCCAGAATAAGAAATAAAAAAGTCATGCATGATGTTACCTTATCATACTTCTTTGCTGCTCGTTGATACTTCCCACTTTTAAATAGTATATTGCCTTCTTCTTTCTTTTTCCCAGCAGCCTCAATTTTCTCCTGATTATTCAGCTCCCAAGGAGTTTTCTCCTATTAATCAAACAAAAACACAGAATAGTGGGTAAAATAAGTGAGACCCCAGAATCCGCCAAAATCATAGATAGGAACTTTAAGGATAATATCTATTAAATGATAAGGATCAATACAATATGGAACTACCAAAACAGTAATTGAGCACTCAAGGTTCTGAAACAGATACAGTTACCTTGATAAAATTCAACATTTCAACTTCATAGACCACATTGGAACATGGAGGGACTGTACCAAGATCACACTTCACTTCCATGCTCCCAAAGCCATACTCTGGACTTATTGTCAACAATGCCTGTTCCCCCTTCTTCATTGTTGCTGCTGCTCGGTCCAAACCAGCAATGACTTGTTCTATTCAACAAAACAGAACAATAAGAGGTGAGCTGGATTCTTTTACTGGCAACTAAAAGAATTTGCAAGCCTAAACAGCATCAAGGTAAACCAACCTTCATCTGTGGTAAACTCTAATGGCTGTACTCCATCAACACCCTTTTTCTCAAACACAGTGCCATCTTCTAACCTACCTGTATAGCTAACTGCAAAAACAGAGAAAGTTAACTGAAGTAGAAGTACCAAAAGAGAAATTAATAAAACATATGCATTTTAAAAAACCTGGTTGTCATACAAAATATCAAAGATCAGATGGTTTCCAGTCACAGTACTTACTGGTTACGCTTGCACCTTCATTTGCAACAATAGCACCCTCCCCCTCTTTGATGATCTTTTTGAACACCTTGCAGTCACCAGTGACATCAATAACAGACTTGAATGATAACAACCACAATTCAATATTCAGAACAGAGTTTGGTGGGACTGCTGCGAATCCATCATTTGCAACCCTTCCGTCCTCCCCAAAAGCATCTACAAGCCATTCCAGATTGCATGCATAATTTTCAGAATAATACTAAATTTGTTGGACTTTTTCCAGCTTCATGAATAAAAAAGAAACATAGACAATATCAAAAGTACATGCCAATATCAAAATATGAAATGCCAATAACAACATCTTCAAGAGTAAATGCCAATATCAAAATATGAAATGGAAAAATCCCATTAGCATAAGAGTTGATGACGAGAAAGGTGCATAATCTCATGAAGCATATTACTTCTTTCTAGTCACGTAGCCACCAAAAGAGAGGACTACAATTCAATAATATTGCAAAAGGAAATTTTGTCTATGGACAAAATGGGAAAATTCTGTGCAAAAAACAAGTCTTCCATGCTGAAATGGTGGGATGTGACACTTATAATGAAAACCAAGATCCTCAAAAGTCTCTTAAATCACTACACCCTCCATACTGCTACAAGCTCAATAAGCACTGTGCAGTCATATCTTTGCTTATTGATGAAACTACTTCCAGTTGCACAGAATGATGTAGAAATTTCAACCAATTATTTTAAGGTTCCTCTACACATGTGAGGAGATAAGCAAAGCATCAATGTACATTAAGGTTTCAAACCATGCATTGATCTCAGCAGATTGTACTTGAAATCCACTGATCCTAAAATACTTGACAAAACTTCTATATTATCAGTGCCTTGAAAATTATACAAGGACATACATTGAGGTTGAACAATTAGTTTGACCTTCTCTCCCCATTTCATGGTTGAGATTGCTTTTGGCAAAGCCAGACAAAGATGACCTGCAAAAACAAAAACGATATTAGAAACTTCAATTATAAAGACAACATAATCTCTTCGCAACAATCATGATGAGCTAATGTTAAACTCAAATTACCGTCTTTCACATAAAACTCAATTCCTTTTTCAGGTGTTTTTGCAACTATAGTCCCATCAATTAGTGCCACTTGATACTTCACTGCAAAAAATGAAAAAAGGAGGGAAAGAAAAACCATCACTACTTGACACATTAATTACCTTAGCAACACTCTTCTACTTGAAGGAAGTTGTCATTGGTGCACAGAACCTAACAGAATAAAATCCAAAAGTGATTAAAATTACCTAGAACTTCATCTAAATCACCAGGCTTTTCATTCCTCCTGCCCTTCTCCATAATCTTCTTGATGATACCACCATCTTTGCACACATCCACTACAGTAATCCATGAGAGAAGTTCCACATCAAACTGGACAACTGAATTGGGTGGCACGCTATCACGGCCTTCAGCTCCATAACCCAATTCAGGAGGCAATGTGAACAATGCACGTTCCCCCTTCTTCATAGTGATAATCCCATGGTCCAACCCATATGCTACTCGACCTACCATTTCCATTATTAACACATAAATTAAGTCCATCAAGATAAATACCTAAAGCAAATACACAGAAAGAACTCACCTTGACCAAGCTTAAACGTCAATGGTTCCCCTCTATCCCTCGTTGAGTCAAATGTTGTCCCATCAAGCAGACTACCCAAATAGTGAACTGCATTCATTTGACGACATATTGATCTAAAATTCCAAGAAAATCCAGGAAAAAAAAAAAACACAATAACGAGACTCCCAAGCAAGATAACGAACTGCATTCTTAATTAACCATTTCCCTTAGACTCCACATCTCCACCACATGCCCATCTGCCATAGATTCTAAAATTAAAAAATCAGCACAAATCTCTCTGTGAAGAGTGGTTACCAGTGACTTCGTCGCCAAACTCGGGGGTTTCCCAAGATTCCCCAACCTTGAGGAGCTTCTTCTTAAGACCCAAACTACCTAGCTCTCTCTCTTCTCCAACATTTTGAGGGGGAGCTGAATCGATCACCTCCCCTGGTTCCTCGTCGTCGTCCTCAATATCAGACAAGTTGGTCGGTTTCCCTTTCTCTCCTCCCATCCGATCGGTGTAGCCCCCGAGATTTCTGTTGCTTTCCCTGAAGATTTGTGTTGCGTGATGATTCTAAAGTGAAGTCAGGCAAGCGATGATCGGAAGCTGACTGGGTAAGGTAGTGATGCGGCGGGGGGACTCCGGTACGGTGAGGCAATTTGGTGTTGCAGTACTGTGGCATGCTCGTTATTTTAGGGAGGAGATCAGGGGAGTATGGTAATTTTGTACATTTGCAGTTTCTGGATTCTACATGGTTGACGGCCCGTCATGAGTAACAGGTTTCTTGTTCATGGTCATAAGGCCCATAACTAAATAAGTTACTGAAGCTGTGGCCCAAACCCCGAATAATTACATAATAGTACCACACAACCGTGCAAACCGAGAATTTTTTTTATTTACCAATACATCTCTGGTGTAACTTTTGTATATCTCATAATTAATTTTTTTAAAATAATTTTAAAACGCAACTCTCGTATTAATATGGTACATTTAAAGGCTATATATATAAATTAGGTATTAAATATTTGATTTTTCATTTTATTTAGGCAAATTTAAATTTTTTGATTTACTATTTTAACCTTAATTTTATTGATATTTAAATTAGTTAAATGTGATTTTATTAGATTTTACATGATTTTTATCATTTGTGTAAAAAAAGATTGAAATACATGAAATTAGCGAATTTTAGACTTAAGTGTAACTCTTTTTAAAGCTTAGGGACTAAAATGTAATAAAAAGGTTAAAATTAGGGACTAAATTGAATAAAATTGACTTTTGTAGTAAAATGCACAGGAACTAAAAGTTAAGAGATCAACAGTATCATTTTACCATTAAACTTTCAAAGATTTCAACCGGCATTATAACGGCAGGTTAACGGAGGGAGGATGATTGCCCTTTTTTCAAAGCTGAGGGATTTGTATGAATTTTTTTAAGGTAGAAGGATGACAATGACCCCTTTTATAAAGTTAAGGGATATGGCATTAAGCAAAAAAAAAAAAAAACAAAATAAAATAAAATAAAACACTTCCCATATTTGGCAATTTCCCTACTTATATATAGTACAGAAATCTTTGTCTCTGTTGCTCTCATACGTCCTAAATACCTAAACAAAACCATGCGGCCGCTTCCTCCACCACTGCCGCCGCATTCCGAGAGTCTGGCCTCAGACAATGGCAATAGCAGACTTTCAAAAGTATTACTAACATTGTTAGGCCCAGCATCAATTCTCCTAATGTTGGTCTTATACTTAATATACACATGGATCAAAAATCGAACCAAACCGAATGAAGAAGACAAGGAAGCCGAAGTTGACACGTTCGATGGAGGATTTGCGGGCGTTAAGTATGATGAAGTTCTGGAAGAAACACTCACCAAGTGCGACGGCAGTGTTCGTTCCTTACGTTTTGAGGAATTTAAGGTAGGAGAGAGGCGTGGGACTTTTGATCAAGTGCCGCCATGAGTGTCATAAGTTATGCCTCAATCGATGGCTTACTAACAATTAGAAGAATCGCTGCCCGACTTGTCGAGCTTTTATTTGTATTGAATCTATTAGCCGATTATGATTTAATTTCTTTGGTAAGTAATGAGATAATGACTATTATGGCCATGATTTATAAGAGAAAATAGATTTTATTCAGTATTTTATTGTTGAGTTGTATCTTATTGATGAGTTAGTAATAATGAAATCAAGAATCAATTTAAGGTAAGACCTTTTCTTTTTTTAAACTTGAGTTTAAACTTTTTTTATGCCTATAAAAAGATTAAAATAAAATCTTTAATTCTTTTCTCTTAAAATTTTATGTTTTAAATTTTATTTTTTGATTTTTTAGAACCCACGGTAGGGCTCATGCCCAACCATGGATGTATGTAGCTTCGCCAATGTGAGTTAGTATATTTAGTGTGATTTAGTTTGGTTTTTAAAATACTCTTTTTAATTTGATTTAATTGTTTCAATTATAAATAGTTTAAATAAGTTATTTTATTTTTTATTTTAAAAAGACATTGTTAATAAGTGAGATCTATAAATCACAATTATGCTCGAACAATAAAAATTGCATATAAATAGGTTTTGCATTTGTTGGTATGTAATTTCCTTCATTCCTTCAAATATATATATATATAACATATAATACTCTTTTCTTATATAAAATAATAAATTATACAAACGCATTAGACCTTGAGATCTAGTGGCATAGCCACGGTGCATTCCCTCTCCCCCACAGGTTTAAAACCTACCCTTGCAAAATGCGTTCAAAAAAAAAAATTATACAAACAGATAATTGTTCCTCCCCAAATCCTACTCTATCTATTTCAAGGTTTCAATACCAAATTTCTAATTTAAGAATCATGTTTTCCATTAAAAAAAAAAAAAAATTTAAGAATAATCATGTCCATATAAATTGTCACGCCTTTGGGGCCACATGAATAAAGTTTTGAGTGTCCCATAAACCATCTACGTAGTACAATTCTCCACCTCACATCACAAGCGAAATTCAGAGTTCAGAAACCAACCAAAGAACGGGCTTTGTCTCTCTCCTCCAATGCAACCAAGAAAAGGATAAGGAAAAACAAGAGATGAAGAAAAGATTGATCATCAAGGCAGCAGTAGTTCAACTTGCCATGATGTTGTGCATTTGTCAAGCTAACAGCAGTCTTCACCCCCTGATCTTGGTTCCTGGCAATGGTGGGAACCAACTTGAAGCCCGGATAACTGCCGGGTACAAGCCACTCAGCCCATTTTGCAACCGTTGGTACCCAATTTGCAAGGATGAAGAAGGGTGGTTCAGGCTGTGGTTCGATTCTAGCGTGCTGATAGCTCCGTTCACCAAGTGCTTTGCTCAGCGTATGATGCTTTCTTATGACCCTGTTCTGGATGATTACTTCAATGCTCCTGGGGTGGAGACTAGAGTTCCTTTCTTTGGCTCTACCGAGTCGCTTCTCTACCTTGACCCCAATCTCAAGTAAGCTTTCGTAATTTTTACTAGTTCACTGCTGTTTGATGAATAGAAATTTTCTCAGGGGCAAATGATCGAACAGTACATGAACAGGCACATAACGGCATACATGGCGCCTTTAGTGGAGTCTCTCGAGCAAATCGGGTACGTCAATGGCGAAACCCTCTTCGGAGCTCCGTATGATTTCCGATACGGGTTAGCCGCCGAAGAGCATCCATCCCATGTCGGGACCAAATTCTTAAAAGACCTGAAGAATTTGGTAGAAAAAGCAAGCGATTCTAATGGAGGGAAGCCGGTGATTCTTCTCTCCCACAGCTTAGGAGGGCTGTTTGCGCTCCAACTTCTCAACCGGAATCCACCCTCTTGGCGTCGGAAATTCATCAAACACTTTATAGCCCTTTCCGCCCCGTGGGGCGGTACCATAGAACAAATGCGCACTTTCGCTTCCGGAAACACCCTCGGTGTACCGCTGGTGAATTCTTTGCTGGTCAGAGGAGAACAAAGGAGCTCCGAAAGCAACCTCTGGCTACTCCCTTCTCCCAAACTCTTCGATCGTCAAAAACCCCTCGTTATCACTCCAAATTCTTCTTATTCAGCCCACGAGATCGCACAATTTCTCGCTGACATTGGATTTCCAGAGGGAGTTCACCCTTACAAATCTCGAATTTTGCCATTGATAGAAGAACTAAAAGCACCGGAGGTGCCTGTTACGTGCATAACTGGGTGCGGCCTGAGAACTCCGGAGACTCTGTTCTATGGGGAGACCGGGTTTGACCGGCAGCCGGAGGTTGTTTATGGCGACGGAGATGGAACGGTGAACTTGGAGAGCTTGTTGGCACTTGAATCATTGTGGGACGAGAGGAAAAATCAATCCCTCAAGGTGATAAGAATTCAGGGGATTTCTCACAAATCAATACTCGAAGATGATACTGCAATTGATGAAATAATAGCAGAAATTTCTGAAATTAATTCTTATGCGAAAAATATTTGATTGACTACTGACGCCGCTGTGCAGAGAAAGAATTATAATTATGGTTTTTTATGGACGTCAGAGAGAATTTTCGTTTGTTGCATTTTGTGTCCGCTTAGGGGTAACGTTATTTATTCAGAAAAGTATTTATTAAAAAATTTAAAAAATATTATGTAGTCTATGCTGTTGTAAAATGTATAACTTTAATAATTAGATAGAAGGTTTTTTTTTTTTTGTGTCCGCTTAGGGGTAACGTTATTTATTCAGAAAAGTATTTATTAAAAAATTAAAAAAATATTATGTAGTCTATGCTGTTGTAAAATGTATAACTTTAATAATTAGATAGAAGGTTTTTTTTTTTTTTATATTTAAACTTTTTCTCTCATTAAAAAATTTTTATTTTATAATTTTGTATTTTTAATTGGATCTTTTTCTTTTTTTTTCTGATTGAGCCTCTAAAATTTCTAAATTTAATTCCAAGTTAACCTCTTTGATAAAAAATAACTAACATTTTTATTAATTGACAGCAAAAAATCATTATTTGATAATCACATATCACGTTAATAATAAAATATATCAATTATTTTTTAATCGATGAATTAACTTAGAGTTAAATTTAAAAATTTTAGGATTAAATTAAGATTTTTTTAAGTTTATAAATCAACTTAGAGATATGTGCAATAGTTAAGAAATCAAGTTAGGGGTTTAACCAAATTATTCTTATCTTTTCTGATGAGTGCTATCTAAGTTACACAGAACGGGTAAAAGACACTATACTCTAGCTCGTTTGATTTTGCATATATATAACGTGTGATTATGAGTAACATGTTTTTTGACAACGGGCCATGTAGTTATAGTTATAAGTTTTGTTAAATTTTTAATGTTTTAAAAATATATAAAATATATTTAATACTTATTTTAATTAATATTTTATATTTTTAAAATAATAAAAAATATAAAAATTAAACTACCAAAAAAAGGTGTTCTCAAATAAAACCATTTATAATTTTCTTTTACTCGCTCGCATATCTAGCAAGGCCATTGCAATTGGTTTCCAACGTTCCGGCCCAATGACATATGCACTTGGATAGTGGGGGACACCCCCTGAATTAATGGTTCGAGTCCACGGGTGGCTCAATGATATATATCACATATGCCACTTGGTTAGTGGGTGACACCCCTGGATTTTTATGGTTCGAGCCCAGATGTAATGTAATTGCCCTCTTTCCAAAAAAAAAATAAAGGTCCTTAAACCTAAGAATTGCCCGTCCCTTGGCTAACAAAGCCCTGAACTGCTGAACATCGGAACTCATCACAGCAATTTGATTGGGCTATTCAAATTTAATAACTATAGTCTTTGAGTCTTCTATTTGCTTTAGTTATTAAAATTATTAATAGTTAATATTTATTATTTAATAAAATAAAATAAATTTATAAATTAATATTTTTGAATATTAAAATTTGTTATTTTTAA